TACAGTATCTATGTTGGAGTTGCTGTTTATTGCTGCTCTCATTTACACAGTTTTTCTCTATTTTACTCTATTCTGTATTCTGCTGCCAAATCTAAATACGCATGTTGTACTTTTCTTTATTGAACCCGAGTTTCCTGTTTTGACACCTCAGATCTTTTTCATTTCTTATCCTGCTGTTCTTTCTGCTTTTTTCTTTTTTTTTCTTTTGTACATATTTTCTCCTGCGGGTGAATTGGCATGTTTCCATTTTCCAGTTACTGTGCTGCTGGAACAGCTGAGTGAATAAAAGTTTTTTTTCATTCTAGCCTCATATAGTCAGTCATTCAATCAGATTTCATCCAGGTTTTTGGCTTTGTACTCTATGTAATGATTTAGTCTCATCAGGATTTTTGGACAAATGAAGCAGAGTGTTATCAGCATAGTGGTGTATATTTATTATATTTATGCTGTTTGATGAACAGATGCAAACCCTGTTTTAATCTAATACTGAACTTGCTGGTAAAAACTTTGTGATGTTTCTCAGATGCTCTTCTTTCTGTCAGAATGCCGCTCATTGGACTGTGAGCAATGCTTCAGTCGGGACTTCTGCACCAAGTGTAAGCCTGGCTTCAAGCTGTACAGAGGCAAATGTTTGATCCACTGCCCAGAGGGAACCTTTGCTCACCAGACAGACTGCCTCGGTAAGTCAAAAACTGCAATATTTGGAGATATTTACAGATAACCAATGTAATACCTTTATTAAATAACAGGCATTCCTAGCAAGGTTAATTTCCTCTAAATAAATATCAAGATTCAGATCTTGTTGCCTCGGGATGAAGAACCATAACTAAATACAATATGTTGTTCTTTTTTTTTTTTTTTTTTCCTTAAGTTTGCTAAGAGAATATGAACAACAGCTCAGAATTTTGAAAGGTAATATAAATATGATTAAATCTCAAATAGGAAACAATGCAATGCTCCAGAAACAATAAAAGGTTTTAAACAAATATTGAAAAAATTCAACAACTACAACCAGGGTATTAATAAAAATATTCAATAAGTTACTGTTAGAATAAAAACTTTCATTGAATGACACTTTTTGAATATTTGATTAAACCACTTAAATCCACATGTTCATTCATTCTTTAAAAGGCTGTTTATAATACTGGGATTGTAACTGATCTATTAGATATAAATAAAAATGTATTATATAATAAGCTCCCAAACCTTAATAATAAAAACATAAAGACACATTTTTCCTTTATTGGTCTGTTTTAAAAAATTGGTGTTTTTAAATCCACTCTGTGGAAGTGATACATCAAATTATTTTTCAGATCAATATATAGTAAATAGTGCGAACCGATGCTCAGTTAAAGTACAATAAGTAAAACTATGTTTAGACAAGGGAGGGTCACAAAGTGCTTTACAAAAAAGACAAAAAAATGCAAATTAAGATCTATTAAAAAACCCAAATTCAATTCATTTCAGTTTATTTATATAGCGCCAATTCGCAACACATGTCATCTCAAGGCACTTTAAAGTTTTCTATCTGAGAAAAAAACAGTTGATTGCATCAACTAATTGACTCCAAGGCAAACTCTAAGCATGCTT